ATGCAGCTCCTCTATTAAAGTATTTGTTTAAAAAGACAGAGAGAGGCGACGGCGAGTCTGTGAGCGAGCGACTGTAGACGAGATGCCAGAACATGGCCAATTATATTGCATATCCGCCTCTGGATCTTATCAAGAACCCCGAGGCAAACAGAAGGGGCTCCAGACCATATATGGCAGCAATATTCCATGCAAGGGCAAATTATTGATTTGTAGATCTGGAGGATCGATTCCGGGGAGAAAAATTTTTTAGCGCGTCACAGGGAGCCAACTTTCCTTGCGGTGGACGAAGCAATTGACTCAATGTATTTTGTTCCATCTCAGGTCAGCAGTCAAAGTGAAACCGAGCAGCCGCAGAGAGGTGCTCTCGAGAAGTTGAGCGTCAGACATTCTAATGCGGGGGGGGGAGGATCTCTGTGGTGAATTAACCGAGTGCGCAGATATCGCTCTCTCAAGATAAAAATATTATAATATAAACAATATGTATGAACTGTTCGAGAAAATGAATGATATCATGTAATTTCGCAAAACATTAGGACTCTACCAAAAAATTGTAAACCAAAGGAGAATAATACATCAGTGCAGTGGCGTAGCTAGAGTAAACGTCACCCTGGGCGGTCTGCTCAAATGTCACCCCAATGACCCCGATTCACCCTATGCTGAATGGTTAGCTGTAGCTAAATTTTCATACATGCTCTACCTCTACTTTACTCTACTGACCGGTACGTTACTGTTTACATGTATGATCCAAGACAAAATCCAATAGCACGAAATAATCAGTTCAAATCAAAAGCTGAAAACATTGCTATTTTTCCTACTCACAAATTTCCCGACAATTTATTAGAAAATTTCTGACGGGGGGATCATATGCCGAGCCTGCGAAACCCTGTGTCTCCACCACTGTTTTCAGACTATTTTTGGCACCTTAGCCTGGTTGAAAAATTTTGTTGGGGGTGACATTGTGTCACCCCTCCTGTGCTGGCACCCGGGGCGGTCCGCCCCCCTCAGCTACGCCACTGCATCAGTGAAACCAGACTCTTTTCTTGCTTCCCTGCCATCTACAATCTGTTCTTTCATTGTCCTTTCTCCTTAATGAAGTCATATTCTCTTTCACTTTCAGTAACCCGTTGCGTCTTGCTGGCATTACCGTCTTGCTTGGGGTGAAAGTATAAAAACGATATTGTAATTAAAGTCTACAAAAAGAGGTTTCTCATAGATATGGTAGGATAAAAAAAATGTATGTTAAGCAACGACAACATAAGTAAATATAACGATATTGTAATTTAAAAAAAAAATGTGTCTTCTTAAAAATACTTTTATACCTATAATAATTTTATCCGTGGTCAAAATCAAGAAAGGTACAGAAAACGATATTAACAAGATAACTGATTGCCTCTGTTTAGAGGTGATTAATACATGTATTTGGAAGTGCTCAGCTACTCACGAGATGTTTATTAATGTAAAGGAAATGTAAACACTGTACATGTTAAGTATCACTTAACATGAGAATTTTTTTCAAACAGAATGTATATATTTATTGCCTTGCCTTACCCAAAGTCTCCTATAATGAGTCAACGTAGTAAATAGAAAAAATAAAATAAAAATAAATAAATAACAACCGGAAATAAAATTGCATGAGATGTTAAAAAAAACAAACAAACAAAACAAATAAAATACAAAAAAATATGTATTTAAATAGATTTATCTTCATATAAATACATATGTTATCATCCCCATCCCATGTATCCTAGAATAATGTATACATGCTTACAAAAAAACGTGTTTCTGTGGGTGTATTTAGGCAGCAGTCTTTTATTAATAAATAAAAGACCTTACAAAAGAAATGTTTCTTATACTTTTTCAATTAACTCACCCCCTTTTTTTTCCCATACAAAGAAATGCACACTTTTATCTAATCAATGTATAGTCCTGGGTATTACTGTAAACTACATCCTCCAGCAAGGTCTTTGACTTGAGGTTGTGAGGAGCGTAGAACATCTAATTTGATGTTGTTCCCAGGTCCACCCTGACCCGGGGTGATACAACATTCTCAGAACCCCCCCCATCAAAATACTATGAAAGTATAAAAATACATTTTATGGTAAAAATACCAGCAATACATTTGTATATAAAAAAAATTACCAACAATATATACCTATAATAGAATTACCAACAATGCATTTTATAGTAAAATGACCAACAATACATTTTGTAGTAAAATGACCAAAATACATTTTTATCTGTAGCTGAAGGCATAAAATTGCGTTCAAAATGTATTTAGTTAAAATTGTGTTCTAAAGAGTAGAGGCTAATGTAGCGTTAAACAAATTCAACTAAACCAAATTATATAATCTATAAAAGATGCGTTTACTCTGAAAGTATAAGATTATGTACAAAACATCTAGTTGAAAGCTTACAATTGCCTTCAAAATATATTTAGTTGAGGCCATAAAATTGTGGTCAAAATATTTAGATTTTGGTATTAAATAACACATATAGATTGATATGCCACTAAATAAAATCAACCAAAAACGAATCAGTGTAAATATTCGTATCAATATTGTTATCGTATAAGTGACGTCATATGTAGATGTGTTACACATGATGTCACTTATACAATACGCATCTTCATCGGCACAAAAAATGTTAGTATAGTGTCAATAAAACCAGAACAGTGATAAATCTGTCGAAAGTATTTGAATAAAAATAGATCAAAACATGAATTATCGGAAGTTTATTTAATTTTGATTGCGATGTACAAGATATTCGAAAATTGGGGGGGGGAATTGGACAGAGAAATCTTGTCGTTTGAATTTAATAAAAGTTGACTCAATATAAAAGAGAAAAAAAACGAGAAAATAAACAGCCAATTGCTGATATCTCTTGACGAGTAGACAGAGCAATTGACGGGGGTCCGTCTACAAAACTCTAGTCGAGTTGCTGAAAATAACATCAATCAGCTATGTGATATGACAAATTTGAAATTTCTATCAATCCTAAATACCTACACACACATATATATAAGACAAAAGGAAAACTTAACTTGGCCGATACGTTTTGTCCTCTGAGGAATTTTATCAAGGAAAATATAAGGATTTTATTCTGCGAAAAGTATTTATATACAAGAGTAAAAATGTTATTGGGTTTCTAAAATTCTAAGGTAGAGGAGTGCTCATTAATATTCATCAGATTAACGAAAAAAACTTGTCTGTCTTTTCCATTAATCTGATGAACCTGTGCCCAACCGACCCTACTATACTGCGCTGTCAACAAAACCAAACACAACGTGCATGCCCGAAATGAAAAATGATGACAATATTTACCCATCGTACCATCTGTTCGTGTGTGTGTGTGTGTGTGTGTGTGTGTGTGTGTATAATTAATATATAAGACATTTTTTATGTTTATACAATCTTTTTACAGATACAAATATTCAAGTAAATGCTCTGTTTATAATAAACAGTATTAAACAACATTTATCGGCCTGAATGTCCGAGAAATTTTCATAGAAAATATTCGTCCCCCGACAGGAATCGATCCTGTATCCTATACGAAACCGTCATATAGCCTGACGTGCCTTTAACCGATTAGGCCACAGAGGAGCGCTCGGATAGCAAGGTCGATTTTACTGTCTTTAAACTACAATCTTCCATGATTTTCTCACGTACACTCATATCTTTCACAAATTCGCTTGAAGATGAAACAGAACTAATGCTTTTAACTTAATTATGTAACTAAATTTGAAGTTTTTAGCTTCGTTTTTTGAAACATGGTAATTCCTGTGTAGCGAAGAAACCATATTTTAAATCAGTTAATATATATATATATATATATATATATATATATATATATATAATTATTTATTTAAAATATGATTCCAACTCGTGACATAAGAGGTCTCATGTTTCAAAACAAGAGCCGAAAACTGCAATATAATTATTTGAATTAAATTGAGTTAAAGTAAGCTCTGTTCCATCTTCAAGCGAAGATTTTTTTGGAATAACGTATTTCTGAAATTTACGTCTTTTAATAATTGAAATCAAAATTTCCATGGTAACAGCTAGGGCGAATTGTTTAAATTGGGTAGGCGAGTGTTGGGTGTTAATAATAAGTATCAGTATAGAGTTACTTTCATAGATGTCAAGTCAGGGTAAGGTGGGGGTGTCTAAATTTGAAACGGAAGATGTTTTAGTTTAGTCTGGTTTACGTGTCTATGGAGATTAATTTATTTTTTTATTTTATTACTTTATGAAAGGGATTTGTGCATAACCCCCCCAAAAAAAAACCGCCGTAACATTTGTTTTTTGACGACTTCATAAAGGGTTATCTTTTTTTGTAGGGTATTTAAACTATTAATTTGTGCTATGGATTATAAAAGTTATTATATTGTATGCTTGTTTTTAGCTAATTATTCAAACCATGAATTTGATGATGTCGACAAAAAACCGTTAACTCGTGTCTATTGTTTAATAGATTATTATTATTTAGAAACTTAATAATGTGCAGTTTCTCATGGAAGCACAGAGGGCATGGGTCATCCCAAGTTTTACATGTTCTAGCCTTGTTTATAATTTTCCATTTTACTTTTGGTGTCCTATTTGTTTCCTTCAGATGCCAAAAATATTTAGATAGGGAAGTCTGATTTCTTTTATTTATATTATTGAAATAACACTTATGCTGCTTCCATCTAGCTTTAAAATCATTCTTCGTGGACCCAATGTATATCATATTAGTACTAGGACTCTCAGTGGATGATATAGTACATTGGTATACCACAGATTTGATGCAGCATTTATTTTCTAATGGGCAGTCTTCTAGGTTTAGTCTTACTCAGGACGCGGATGTAGTTTATCGTCATACCCAGGAGGGCTCGGATGTGGCACAAGGTAGGAAGTATGGGGAATATGGTGAGGATTAAACCACTATTCAGACGTAATTGATACCATATGATATATGTGTGTTTAAGTAGTAAATTTTCATTCATACAATTATAGCTCCGGCTCACGGCCATATCACATTAAAATATCTGTTCTCATCCGATTACCGAAGTTAAGCAACATCGATCCTGGTCAGTATCTAGATGGGTGATCGCCTGGGAATACTAAGTGCTTAGAGGTGTGTTTTTTCAGGTTGGGTAATGGATAATGCCTCGGAATGAGAAATCAGAGAACCGAGTTCGAATTTTAGTCGGTTTCTTTCCATTCACTTCCGTGAAAATACCTTTGGGCGATCGTGAATTGAAAAGGGACATGATCGCCCAAGCGTGTCACGCCCGCCTCTACCAACACGTACTGGGTCAGTGCGATAGGGGATAATAGCCCTTTCCTCCTCATCAATCCGGGAATCTTCACAAGCAGACAAGAATAAGATTTTTTTTTCTTCATTTAGATTATATTTATATCATATTTACATTATACTCACGTCGCCGAGTGGTTAAAGCGTTCGTATTCTAACTATGAGACCCGGGTTCGAATCTCACCATGGTCGATTTGTCAGGAAGGAAGTTTCCTGATGTTATCGGAGGTTCAACCCCAGCGTGCCTGAAAACTATACCACAGTTTGTGAGTGAAATTGGATAGACGCTAGAACGAAGTCACAAATCATCGTGGCTTGAACGTGCTGGCCTTGTTCAAATTATTGACCACGCTAGATAACACGCTCTTTCTGTAACTAAGGTCTGCTCAGCATAGTTGCAAAATAAACCGCAGGTGGGTTCTGTGAGTGTTGAATAAACGCAAATGCGCCTGAGCAAGCATCTGCAATAGGGATTGTCTAGCCGCCCTAGTAGACGGGTATACTCAAATACTGCTACTATAATATATTTTTTTTTTTTACATTTTAATTAATCATTCTTAATTTTTCTTCGGTCAGTGTATAGTGATTTTCCAAGCGTAGCTTGGATGTGGCACAAGGCCGAAGGTAAGGGGCACCCAGTGAGGATTGAACTCACTACTCATTCGTAATTGTTCTAGCGAGACAAGCTTGCTAACCATTACACCACCTTGAGGTGCCCAACTTTGGTCGGTGTATAGAAGCGAGAAGAACTGTTTATATGTTTTTGGTCAACACCTAGCGGATGATTATTGAGTAATTTTCAATTTCCTGATTTTTGTTTACATCTATCAAGACGTTAATAATTGAACATCAAAACTATAATTAGGCCCGGTGCCCGCTTGTTAATTAAGCTGTTCTTTACGTACGTAATCCAAAGTAATTGTATTATTTGCAACTATCTATTATATGAAAACAAAGATTATATTTCAACAACAACAACAAAAATATCATAATAAATAAATGGTCGACCAGTGTATTTCTGTAGGTTAATGCTTTTAATTCAAGGGGGTTTGTAATTAAAATACTCAACACAGTCGGTGATTATTACCTCACAAAATCTTGACCGACCTTCAATACTGATTTGGAGCCCCGGACACTGCTTTGTGACCCTCGCTTTTCAAGATTTGTTTTTTTTTTCTACCTATATTTATATACTTTACAAATTAAACTAAATTTTCCGGATTTTGACGTCATTCTGTTTTTTGTTTTTTGTTTTTTTTTGTTTGTTTTTTGCTTTTAATCTATAGTTTTGCACTGGCCAATTCTCGAAAAGACACTATATAAAATTCCCTAATTTTTATCCATAATGTTGAACGTTTTAAAATTATTCTTTTTAACAAAAAAAAATGATGTTAAAAATTGCCGCAAAACATTGTTGATTTATTTAAGATGGAATTATTTAATATGACACGTCTCTAATTTGTATTTAGATAAATTGTATTTATTTAAAATTTTTGTTCATCTATATTGCATATGATCCATTACTGTACATAATGAGTTTACAATAAAATTTGTATATTATACAAATACTACGTTATAAAAATTGAAATGTAGCAAAGTGGGAGGGCGTATCCTAGATTCGGGGGTGCAGGTAGCAGGAGATCCTTGCATCAGTCCTGATGTTCAATATCAGTAGATATTGATAGCAACAAATGAAATTAAATGTTCGACTTATCTTTCCCGAATCGGAGTTTCAAAGGTATGCTATTCACTTGTTAGAAGACTTGATAGTAAAACATAATTGCTGAACATTTTAAAGAAATTATGTTTTCTCTAAATAAATTCACTTTTAATAAAAGTCCAGACTTTCAAATGAAATGAGCCATCGTTACAGGTATGAGCAAAGTAACATATTTTAAGTAATGCATTATTAAAAACAAAAACAAACACAAAAAACAAAACAAACAAAAAAACAAAAGTCGTTATTTTCTTAATTGGAAGCGAAATCCAGTGCAGTCGAATGTAGTAAGTCATGTCAGCAACGTGCTACGGAAGCATGTACTGGCCAACGTATGTTATATATATATTTTTTAATATACATTCAAGAATTCGAGGTCTTAGACTATTTTTCGTATTAATGGGTGGTTGTTCAGGTACTTTCGACCGTTTCATTCATTTTCAAGAAACACGGTAGAAAATAATTGAAAAAAAAAAACAAAAAAAAAACAAAAAAAACAAAACAATAACAACAGTTTATCCACAATTTCGAAATTGGAAAAATACAATAAAAATTAAACAGACAAAAAGACGGTTCTTTTAATCAAACTTTTTAGCTGAACAATTGATGCCGAAATATATTCATAGAATTCAGAATAATAAAGATACTTAAAAGAATATCACACACACAAAGTCTTGGGGGTTGTTCTAAGATAACAGGGATAATATAGGCATATTGAAGCTGCTTAGCACAAATTGACCGTGAACTCTGTCGCGCATACACACTAAGTTATAACGTTCTCACTCACTTTCGTTATTTATATCAGTGTTTGGAAGGAAAGTGTGTAGAGTGTGGTCGTCTCATCACACCACAAAAGTTTTTCAGTGACCCTGGCTTGTGCAGCAGTTTTTGGCTAAACACAACATTCCCCAGATTTCGCTCCCACTTGAAGGAACAAGATTACAAGACGTAGAGACAATCTAAGAGACTGCGAGGAGGCAGCTATCCCAAAAAAGGAGTTTCAGGAATGCTTCTATCAATAAAAATGACGCTGGATAGAGTGTGTGTCTTCAGAAGGGAAATATTTCGAAGGGGATTAAATGCAAAATTGATATGTGTTAAGTTTTTTTTTTCATAGCACTGCCCCCGATACTTTTGATCAGGCATTATATATATATATATATATATATATATATATATATATATATATATATATATATTTATACGTATGTATGAGCATAAAAATTAATACTACATGGCAACCAGCAATTTTTAAGTGACCATCAGACCTTTTTCCATCTACATCCGCTCTATACTTAATATAGAGCACTATTTTCATGAATATGAGTTTTAAACAATATATATATATATAAGACATTTTTATGTTTGTACATTCTTTTTATAGATACAAATATGTAAACAGTATTAAACAACATTTACCGGCCTGAATGTCCGAGAAATTTTCATAGAAAATATTCGTCCTTCGACAGGATTATTATTGTTTAATATTGTTTATTATAAACAGGGCATTTACTTAAATATTTGTATCTATAAAAAGAATGTTAAACATAAACATGTCTTTATATATATATATATATATATATATATATATACATATATTGCTATAAATGTTTACATAGAAAGAAAACGCTGAGGTCAAAACCCAGCGGTTAAGTTATAACTTAGTGTGCATATTTAGTGTTTAAACGTGTTCTTCAGGCAATGAAAATTGCATTTAAGTCCGAAACAGACTATCGCCAATTGTTTTCTTTCATTTACATACGCTCTATCCCTCATATGGAGCACTCTAATCCATAAACATACCATACTTAAAATTATATTTGTATCGTATATAACATCACAATAAAATTGCTGGGCTTCAAATATGTTTTAGCTTAGGGATTACAAGGGGGTCTTAAAAATCTCAGTTCGACCAAGATTCAAGATTTTTTATGGTTGGTCAGATTTTAGAAAGTTGATCATGCCGAGAAATTTTTCAGCACCTCCTTGTGAACATGTATTAATATTCTAGTTTGTTATTCTATTTTTGTTTTTTTTTTTGTTTTTTTTTTCACTGAATGTTGCGCCTGTTTTAGTCACCGGTTTTTCTTCAAGTGTAATTTTGTTCAGAAAAAGAAGCAAAGAAAAGAAAAAAAATTGAATATATGAATTTTTACTTTTAAAAAAGGAAATGCCAAAAAAAAAAAAGAAAAAAATATTTAAAAGTAACATGTTGTTTATAGTTATAAAAACCTGCGAATATATTAGTACTTAAAAAGGAAAAAAATGACTTGTGTATCAAGCTATTAAATCAACAAAGCAAGACATGATGAATAGTCTGATGAATAGCAAATGAAATTAAAAAAAAAACAAAACTGTTCACTCACCTGAAGCGAAGGTTTCCTGAGCGTGTACAGAGGGACCGGTAAAAACTCCTAACAAAAACACTGTGACCCAAAACGAGTATTTCCTATGAACGAAAAAGTAAAACGGAAAAAATAAAGATATATTTGCATGACATTTATTTTGTTGTCTTTCATAATATAGAATTTATAACGGTGAATATGTTGTGTCAAGCTTTAAACTGAAATACCTACACACCTATCATAAACTATTTTGGAACAATCATTTCATATAAATTATGCTTAATCTATGGGAAATTTAAAAAAAATATGTTGAGTCAATTTCTTAAGAGATGAAAACTTACTGAAGTGTTTATGAGGAAGACAACAGTGTTTTACCAAACTTAAAAGGCCTATCCACCGGTCATAAAAACAAGCATTTTGATCCTCAAAATTTCATATTAACTAGGTACAGCATAGGGTATCTGAAGGGGAACGATCAGAAGATCATGTTGCACCAATTTGTCACGATAGAAAAATTTCCTGAAGTATAAGTGCATGTGTATAAATATTTCATCCCTGGGTTTTTAAATTAACCTATGTAAATAATAAAGTGAAGAATAACAGAAATATATGAGAACGCTTTGCACCAATCTTTCAATAGAAGAACAGATTTCATTTTTGCAGAGGAAATCCTGGTTTGTGGATATTTTTCTTAACAGAATCATAGGGTAAAAACAGAATCATAGGGTAAAAACAGAATCATAGGGTAAAAA